TATATATATATATATAATATATATATATATATTATATATATATATATATATATACATATACAAGCACACAAACACATACTTGACAACACTATTAAAGTGCTACAATTATGCCTTGTTTTCTCTGCTGGAAACTATTATTGAAACACAGGTTCCTGACTCTTATCTAATTTCCAGATTCATTTTACTGTAGAGTTACAAGTTCAAAGTGGTTACCTACTTAGTGATATGTAATTTTATCATATAAAATGTGCTCAAAAAGCTACAAAGAAGTCATTAAATAGAAGGAATAGATTGCCATGTGCATGTAGAATATAGGTGACTATACAGTAAACATGTTAAACATTCATCAGTGCAATAGCAGAATACATAATAAGCTAATTGGCTAAAATGGGTGTCAAGCTGAGGAGGCCAGCATAAATCTGCATCATATCAGGTTGCACCAATCACCACAGGAGTCCTTGCTTTAGTCTTTTAAAAATGTTGCCAAAGCTATTCCTCTACTTCAAGTGTGACCTTGGTACAGTCACCAAATATTTAATCACCTTAGATTAGCTATGTTATCCTGTTGACACCGGGAGGGTGTGTACACAAGCCCTGTCCACTGTGATTTCCATTTATTAATGATGTTTATGGTTAGATAGCTCTTCAAGTGCATAGTCACTATTAATTCAGTTACTAGGTCTATTCAATTTTACCTGTTTATCCTAGTCCTTGAATTTTCAGGAATAAAAATTTTCTTTTCTACTATTAGTATCATTAATGACATTGCAGTAATAATACCAATCATAATAAATACATTATCAACAATAATATCAGCATTAGAAATGGAAAGTATTTCTCTCAAAATTTCAAGGAATTGATTACATGGGTGGAGTCAGGTAGGCTTAGTAACTGAGTCACTGATGAATGAGCACTTGTGAAGATATCTATGAGACAAAACGAAACAGCGGACAGAGCATGTACCCAGCATCATGGGTTAAATGTTTAGCTGCCAATAATGACATCCATATATTTGAAAACAAATCACATTGATACATACATACTTCCATACACTCATACACACACACACACACACACACACACACACACACACACACACACACACACACACACACACACACACACACACACACACACACACACACACACACACACACACACACACACACACACACACACTCACACACACACTCACACACACACACACACACACACACACACACACACTCACACATGCACATGTGACAGACACACTCCCAAGTACATGCATACTCCCACATGCATCACACTCCCACACACATACAAACTACTATATATATGCTCATTCACATGCACATTCCCACTCATCCACATTTACATGCACATGCATACACACGCATGCACCCTCACCACCACCCATCCATCCACCCCCACCCACCCACACACACATGCACACAAACACACACACACACAATCAGGAGATTCACAAAATAGTTGAGATAATGGTTACATCATGCATCAGGAATATATGACCATATCTAGTATTGGCATAAAATAATTGTAGTGTACATATATAGGAATGTACTTTTCTAAGATGCATGCTAAAAGGTTTTGGAAATTATGAATAAATCTTTAAGAGCATCAAGACAGACTCATAGTGTCAGAAAATAATCAAGAAATATCATTAAGCTTGATTTTCAATAATTAAACTCTTATCCTACTTAGTTTTAAAATATTCTACAGTGGTCTGTAAATCATTGTACAAAAATTCACAGAATTTGAGTATGGGCAGTTCAGTTTAATGGCTTATTGTAACTTACTCTGTTACACATGCTGAGGAAAAATAAAACTTGTTTCTACATGGTTCTACATATGGAGGGAAGATCTACATGTATTTATTATTTTCCTTTTTTGGATATCTGGCAATAGTAAAACCATTATCATAGAGGCACGCCTGACAACTGTTCATGAAACTTCAACATTTAACCTAACGAGGTCAGCACTCTTTATGATCCACTATGGCAAAAAGTACCATGATCCTCACACCACATTTTTCCAACACAAAGATAGAGAGAGTATTTCAAGAGGAAAAAACACCATAATGCAATGCCTTTCTCTAGAATTCGTTCAAGTATCTACAGCACCAGTATTTGTGGAAAATTGCACTGTCACAATAAACATTCCTTGGGCATTGCACTGTCCATTAAGTAGATGTACTGATGTGGCTTTCCAGGCTTACAAAACTCATTCATCTGGAAATTTTAATATCAATGAAGCTAATTTGCATAAGACCATTGTTTAAAACAGATTCTTTCAGATTGTTAAAAAAATGCATGTTGTTATTGTGGTATATTGATAATACATAATAATAAATTTTGTTTCTGTTTGGGACCTGAAAGAGAAATATGCATCTCACACTGAGTGTTAGTGCATATGAATTAAAATTTACATAAGCCACATCATTACACCTAAAAGGGTAAAAGATCACTGAATCTAAGCACTTACCTCTCCCAAGTTCTCACCCTTATCATTATGTCTTTATAGAGTGATATGGATGTGTTTCTT